ATCTGTGCATGCGACAATACAATCTGTGCATGCGACAATACAATCTGCGCATGCGACAATACAATCTGCGCATGCGACAATACAATCTGTGCATGCAACACAATACAATCTGTGCATGCAACACAATACAATCTGTGCATGCAACACAATACAATCTGTGCATGCAACACAATACAATCTGTGCATGTAATACAATACAATCTGTGCATGCGACAATACAATCTGTGCATGCAATACAATACAATCTGTGCATGCGACAATACAATCTGTGCATGCGACAATACAATCTGTGCATGTAATACAATCTGTGCATGTAATACAATCTGTGCATGCAATACAATACAATCTGTGCATGTAATACAATCTGTGCATGCAGCAATACAATCTGTGCATGTAATACAATCTGTGCATGCAGCAATACAATCTGTGCATGTAATACAATCTGTGCATGTAATACAATCTGTGCATGCACACAGCTTGAGCAGGAGCTGTTTGAGTTTGAAGACAGGGCTTTGAGGGAGAGCATCACAAAATCTGAAGTGAAATCAATAAGTCGTGCTCTCAAATTTAAAGAACACACTCTGGAATAAAGGCGGGAACAAAAAGCTCCACGGACACGTTTCTGATCTACGGTTGAGAACACAGCGCGACCAGTTTCTCTCTTTTATGGAAGAAAAATAAAAAGTGTTTGCTGACCTGGTGATCCCTGCACCAAACCCACTTTAGGCTGCTTGTGAAGAAAAGTATGGCGGAATTCCTGAGCAATGATCTGGAATCGGTAGAGAATGAATGTTATTTTTAACTACAGTGCTGTTGTTGTGTATCAGAGCGACCCGGCTGTGTGCCGCTCTACCTGTGGGGTGAGGAACCTCTCTATCCTGCAGGTGAGGAAAGGTTTGTCCAGAACGCTGCTGACGGACGGCCTCTCTCGAGGGCTGCGTTTGAACAGCAGCGCCAGGAGAGAGCGCAGCTCCTGGGAGTAGTGGAGGGACACGGGGGGGTATGAGCCCCGGATGATCTTCAGAACCAGGTTCTTCATGTTGCCAGCCTCAAACTGAGGAGAAATACACGCACAATCACACTCAATGATGGTAATAAAGCATCGGTTATTAACCCTCGGAACACCAAAAAACAATGAAGGCTTCCATCAGAAAAGGCAGACAATACAAAGTTTTAAATTTTGATATTTCATCAAAAACATTTTATTCTACATGTTCTCATTATAAGTCTCTCCTCTAATAAAGCGTTCACTTTAACCAGATTGTATAAAAACATTAAAGTGTGAGCTCCTCAGTGAAACTATGAAGTCATGATTGATTCATCCGAGACCAACAGTCATGTGACAACAAGGAGGAGACACTTTGACTGAACTTCAGGAAGTGAACACAGAGAGAGGAGAGGAGGGGAGAGAGGAGAGGCTGGAAGTAGAGGTTGTTAATATTATTAAATGTTAATAATAGTTCAATATCTATAACATTTGGAACCTCCATTTTTTTCAACTTTGGTAGCACTTGGAGAAATGTCGCATATATAGATTTCATTGTTTTCCAATTTTTGCAAAAGAAATGATCAAAGAAATTCAACTATTTCTTTTTTATGATTTATGCCATGATAAGCGTTTTATTCTTTACTAAAGACATGTTTGTTCTCTCTACTTGTAGCCGTGATCGTTCTGTTTCCATGGAGGAGCAGGACCACAGAGAGAGCAGCTTTGTGGTTCAGAGGGTTCATGAATGTGTGGCTGAGACGATGAAGAGCCACAGATTAGATTATGAGACTCTCAGGATGATACATCAAAGCATGTGAGAGAGCATTTCAATGCCTCATAAGATACATTAAATCTGCGTTAATGAATCAACACGCACACACTGAATACTTACAGCATGCTTAAGAGTGCACATTTCATACAGGACACACCCGAGGGCCCAAATATCACTGCAGGGGGGAGAGCAAACAGATGGACAGACGGGGGGGTCAGTTCTGAGGTTTACATCCATTCAATGAAGTATCAACAGACACTTACAATGATTTCATCATCATTGAGGGGAGACACAACAGGCTCAAACATTAGTGTATACACTTGTTCATTTAGAGTTGCTAGTATTTTTCCTCCATAACTCGTCTTCTGTCAGACGAGAGGAAATAAAACATTTATTTTATACTTGGTCTGTTTACGTCTGTAGATTTCTCCTAAATTCACCAAAAGTTACCATTACATAATGCCTCATTTACATATTTAAACATAACATTTCAGTAAACATGTAATACAATAAATACTGATCTTAATGTGAGTGATGAAGTTTCATGGTGATATCTATGAGTTCATGTGTTCACCTGTAGAG